CCGCTATGTCATTTCGACTCCAGGATCGAGCCACCGTGGCAAGTGACATCAGCACATATTCTGGCATGGGTGGTGCTCTTTGTGGCATCTCAGTCCGTTGCCAAGCCTTCAGCAGGTTCCACGCACTGTGAAAGACTCTCTTGCGTCGCAAGAAAAACTGTACGCCAGACAAGGTGACCCCAGCATCTCCAGCAGGCCTCCCATGCGCCCATAGCGTCTCTATCCATTCACATAATTGGAAGTCGAGCTGCTCCAGGTCAGTGGCCACGTCGATACCATGGGCACGAATCCAAGAGACAAAGCTTTGCACCATCTGACCATATCTGCGAAACGTACGAGGTTGAACTAGTGTGTGTGATAAACTGCCAATCGCGCGTCGCACCCGAATGCGGGACACCAAGTCTATCTCATAGTCAATGCGACGCTTCCTTGGCATTGCTGTCACCTGACATGCCGCCTTCCCTCGAAGGGTCGTCGGCTGGGTTCTTGTCGGTCTCGGTGTACCCGTAGATCGGTCTTGCCGACGCCGCCAGGACCAGAGCTGAGATCCTCTTGACGGCTGCGTTGAGCAGATGCGAGGAGGAGCGCCCCCGCGATATCACACCAAGTCCAACCTGCGAATCCATCAGATGAGCGAACCTCGTGCCAAGGTGATGGCCCACTCTGAAGCGCCAGCGAAGGCCTGCCAGCGTGCTCAGCACTTCCAGCGCCGTGATGTGGCTCTTCCACCTCCACTTCCAGACCAGCACTGTCTTCCACGTCCAGCGGCTCACGCTGATCGGGCGGCGTGGCCACAAGTCAGGGCGCATGACCTCCAGCGTGTCGAGGCGCACGTCCGAGCCCCTCACCTCAGCTCGCCGGATCAGCTCCTCCACGATCTGGATGCTCGGGTCCGCCTGCGCCTCGGCCTCTTCAAGGCCACGGTCCCTGATCACCACCCCGCTGTCGTCGCCCTCCTTGGCTACCTGCGCCAGGCCCTCGGCAGCGTCGAAGGCGCCTCCGACCGCCCGCGCCTCCGCCATCGTGGGGACCGAGTCCAGGTAGCCGTGTCGGTGAGCCCAGTGCGCCACTATCCATGCCACCACGCCGCACTGGAACGAGTTGCCCAGCAGGGCGCAACGTACCACCTCGAGCTCAGCCAGCTTGCGGAACCGCGTGGCCCGCGCTGTCGCCGTGTGCCCAGGTGGGAAGTCCATCAACATCTCTCTCTCAAAGGAATCCGCAGGCTCCAGCGCACCTCCTTGCCATCGCAGACAGTGAGGATCTCGAAACTGGTACGGCGCATAGCAGAAGTCGTGCCTCCGCCAACGCTCCAGCTCGGCCTCGCTGCACTGGTGCAGGCCCTTTGGCTTGTCGCCGGCACGCCCGCGCGGGATGCACCTCACGAAGGTGGGCAGACGCTGCTCAGGAACCTCGGCTCCTGACCACTCTCGCCCAGGGCGCAGCCAGCGGCCCAGCGGGCCTGGACCTCCAGGGATCGTCACTTTCACCACCTCACTTTTCACACAGACTTCGCCCTGCCACGGCGTCATGAGGTCGGTGTCACACCAGTAGAGCCTCTCTCGGCGAACGTGTGAGATGTCGGCGGCATCGATCATCACCGGGGCCAGCCCCATGTGCTCTGACATCGTGTCGCGATCCTCGGCCGTCATGGAGGACACATTCTCGATCAAGTCGAACACCTCGACCTCCACGGGGAACACCTCCTTCACCAGCGACTTCACCCGCTTGATCTCGTAGAAAAGGCCCGACCTCGCTCCTGACAGCCCTCGCCTGTCGACGCTCAGCCTGGTGAGGTCCACGCAGGGAGCTCCAGCAAACAGGAGGACCCAGCGCACATGAGGGGCCCTGTCTCGGATCTTGGCGATGTCCTGCGCGCTCAGCTTCGAGACGTCGCCCAGCTCCACCACGTCCGGCCACGCGTGCTTCACCACGCGGCAGGCCTCTGGGTCCGTCTCCGACGCAGCATACACGGCCACGCTCAGCCCCAGCAGCGAGGGCCCGTCTTCCACCTCCGATCCCGTCGAAGAGCGACAGCAGCACGCCCTCGTCCTGCAGCCGCCCCACCTGGCGCCTGCGAGAAGCCTTGGCTGCCTCAACGCCGTGTGGGAGCAGGCGCACAGCCCGGCATACCGCCCCCTTGCGCATGCTGGCGTCGGACACGGTCACGAGCCCGCTCACGGGCGTCCTGAGGTCGCACCTCATGAGCGGCAGGAGCCCCACGGCCAGCAGCAGCTCCCTCTGAACGGGAGCGGGCAGCCTGCGCTCGCCTCTCCAGCGCACCACGGCACGCCACAGGTCGTCGAACACGGACATCGTCTCACGCCTGAACATCATCGCTCGCACCCAGCGGCCCGCCACCACCTGCAGCCAAGTCTGAGTCAGCACATTCCGATCCAGCGTGGCGAAGGTGAGGCCCAGCAGACGGTACACGAACTCCAGGGGCGGGCTGATCACGCCCCTCGTGCCGTCAATGAGCTCACCCAAAACTTGACTGACAGGCTCACGGCACACTGCCTTATCCTCGCTCCTGGGCACCCCCCGCTGCGCGTACCTCTCGCAAGCCAGCTGCACCACCTCGGGGGGCCCTGTGCCTTCAGCGCCGCCGCGGAGACCTCGTCGGTAACCTCCAGCACGTCAAGGTTGTCGATGTACACCGGCCACACCACCCAGCAGGCCGTACCAGCACACTCCGGTATGAGCGTGTCATCTCCTCTCGTCGCCTTCGGCACCGTCTCCGCCCACATCTTGACCAGCACGTCCCCGTGGCAGCGCTGCCCTCGCCTGCAGTGGCACAGGAGGCGACAGCCCGAGAGCTCGGGCAAGCAGGCCAGCAGATCGGGCGAGTCGCGCAGGTGGCTCTCGTAATTCGCGATGGCCTCGCTCCTCGGCATCATCTTTGACACCTTGAAGGGGTTCGCCCACTTGGATGGGGAGAAGCCATACCGCTGCCCTGTGCGACCGATGTACACCTGTGGGCGCTCGTCGCTGTAGGATCGGCCCAGCTCGCCTCGCACCGGCAGCCTCGCCTCGCCCTGAGAGACCACCGAGCCTCTCTCACGATGTGGAGGCAGAGGAAGGTCGCGCCGCAATTCACGGTCCTCAGGCAGCGGAGGCACTCCCTCCAGCCACTCACGAAGCAGCCGCCGGTGGATGTGCTGGATGATGCCTGTCGCCGACACCCAGCCCATTGGGATCACGGCCGCGGCCACGTGCACCTCGCCGGTCCCGTCAAGACCGAGGCAGGACCTGCTCACCTTCTTGGAGAGCGCCATGTACTTGTGCCACACCGCGGGCAACCGGTACACGTAGAAGCAGCACTTGAGGTCCTCCGACGAGCTCATCATCACCTCGCCGCTCCTCAGGATGATGCTCTTCCACTTGTCTGTCGTCGGGAGGAGACCCATGTCCCCCTGGACCGTCTCCTGCAACCAGTTGCTCGGGATGATGTTCATCACTAGCCGCTGCGGCCCCGAGCCTTTGACGTGTCCCGACTTTCGTACACCAAAGAGGCCGCCCAGCACGCGACGGCCCTTGACCTTCACGATCTCGTCGGCCTCGATCGGGACGAGGATGCCCCTGTTCACGAGCTCGGCCGCGATGAGCTCCCACTCGTCATCCTCGGCCGAGACGCGCGGGGTCTTGGGCATCTCGCCCAGCTCCGCGGGGCTCTTCATCACCCACTCCGGGTGCTCCAGCACGCTCCTGATCCAGCCTTCGCTCACCTCGGTCGCCAATGCCGAGCCGCAAGCCTCCTTCGACGGCAGGGCGAGCAAGAGGCGCTCGCGGTCTAGCTGCTCGGCTGGGTACACCTCCATGCCCGTGTAGCTCACTGCCGACGACTTCAGCTCCTGGGTCCAGTCGAGGTTCGCCACGGAGCCCTCGTACTGGCATAGGAACGTGCCCACACTCCTGGCCAGCAACCTCAGGGCCTTCAGCTGCACCGCGCTGGCGGGCCCGTGCCTTACCTTCCAGGGGGCCATCTTGAGACCAGGATGCTTGCCCCCCAGCGCGTACTGGAAGTTCAGGCTCAGGACAGTGAGCTTCAGCCAGCCGTTCAGGTCGTCCTCGAAGGAGGGATCGACTGGCTCCGATTCGCCGAACACAACGCCGTTCATGCTCAACTCCTCGATCGTCAGATCGACGCAGGGCAACGGCAGCAGGTCACGCCGTCCGTTCCCTGCGGTCAGTGGTGAGAGGATATCATCGTACGACTTCGCATCAAAATTGCCAAGTGCCCCGCTCGACGCGGGCGAAGAAGTACTGAGGTCAGCTAGACGGCGTCCCACAACACGAACTGGAGCTCCACAGAGACTGCCCAGCTCACTGGCGGCACGCGTCGGGTTCAAGTAAGGAAAGTCGTGAATTCGCGTGGACGGCTCGTCCGAGACTGCGCCATGAGCGGCGCCGTTGCACTCATCCTCAAGGTACGAGGAGAAGGTGATCTCGGACTCCCAGCTGCCGTCGGACGTGCAGTCACACGCCTCTCGAGTGCCCTCGAAGCTCATGCATTCTACTTCCGATTCTTGTTGGACCTCTTGCCCTGGCCCTTGTCCTTGCCCTTGCCACGGGCCTGACCCTTCGTGCCGCCCTTGCCCTTCGGGTTCCACGAGCGCCAAGGTGGCGTCCCGCGGTGCTGCCCTTTGTCGCCCTTCGGCTTGCCCTTGTTGCCAGCCTTCGCCTCCGCGGTCACGTCGTCCGCGAACCTCACGCGACGAACAGGGCTCGAGGGTCTCCGAAGGGCCGGCTTGCGATCCACTCCAGGGCTGATCGAGCCAGGTGCTGGCCGCCAGTGGGGCGACGGGCTTCTCGGGCTCCCCGATCTCTCGCCAGCACCTGTCCCGGCTGCCGGGCTCGGCGACGCTCTCTTCACTGCCTCGCCAGCGTCCCCTCGACCGCGACCTCGCCCTCGGCCGCGTCCACGCCAGAGCTTCGCCCTCCACCTGTCCTTCCTCGATCCGGGCGTCGGCGCATCCTTCTCCCCCTGTGCTCCAGGACTCGATGTCTGTGGGGGCGGCGTCGCGGGAGAGGGCGTCCTGGTGCGCCCGCCCTCTCCCTCGCCGAATCCCTAGGGGGGCCTCCTCGCGCCCGCTCGAGTGAGGCGCTCCTTCAACTTCGCACCCTCCGAGTAGGATGCCACGGCCGCCGACGCCTCGGCGCTGCTGGCCAGCCCGATGTCGGTGGAGTCGATCAGCTCGAGGTGCTCGGCTATCTTCCAGTGCCCGTCCTTGGTGGCCTGCTCGATGGCCTTCAGCCTCTGCATGAGCATGTCGCCCAGCTGCGGCAGATCGCCCCTCGTGAGGGCGTCCAGGCACTCCCCGATCATCCTCATCTCGCGCACATTCCGCACCCCCATCTCGTTCTGAGGGTGCATGCCGTGCCACACGCTCGTGATATACTGCACCACGTTGGACGCCATCCTATCCAGCTCATCATCGTTGTCGGCCCCGCCCCGCTGCGCCAAGTACTCTCGGATCTGCTTCAGACCCGCCGCCATGAGCGCCCCGGGGTCGGAGCGGGCCAGCTTCTGCACTCGGCGGCCGGAACCAGCGGTCGGGGCCTCATCAAAACTCGCACTGTCGGAGCTATCCTTGTCCCTGTTCTTCTGCTTCTTGCGGCTGCGGCGGCCCTCCAGCGCAGCCTCGGCGCGCTCGGCCAGCGCCTCGCCCATGGAGCGCTTCCTCTGAAGCTTCTCCTTCAGCCTCTTGACGATCTTCCTCATCTCCTCGGCCGTCCTGCCATCCACGTCCTCACCGTCGGCACCGCCTGAGCCCTTGGGAGCTCCACCTGCGTTCTTGCCCGGCACCACGGGTCCAGCGTCAGCGGCGGGCGGCGCACCGCCTGCAGGGAGGGCGCCAGGCGGGGTGGCTCCAGCGCCATCAGCGGCACCGCCTCCAGGCCCGGCCGCCCCCAGCACGCGCAACGTGTCCGAGTGCACCACGTTGCGCCCTGGCCAAGCGGTCGTGCGACAGCAAGTCGCCACGCCCTGGGTGCAGAGGTGCACCACGCTGCTTCCCATCGCGAAGATGCCCTGCAGGATCGGCAGGTAGAGAGGGTCGCTGCTGCTCTCCACTGTGCACTCCACGAACTCTCCTGCCGCGTCAGGCGGATACAGCCCTGTCACGGTCATCGTCGTCGTCCCGCTTGGCTGACAGGCAGCATCGTACATCACCAGCTCGACGCGGCAGCCGGCGCTCAGTCCCAGGAGGCCGTGGGTCACGGCCTGGGGCGCCATGGGCACGTATACCCAGGGTCCAGCCTGCTGCGCCGCCGCCGCGACCCCCGCCACCGCTGGCTGGGCGAACGCTGCTCCGAACTGCGGCAGCGCCCCGCCCGCCGCGGGCATGCCTGCCTGCCAGCCCACGGGCACAGGCGCGGCGGCGGCTGGCACCGCGTGGGCGGCCTGCCCTGCCACGGCGTGGCCGCCTCCACCCCCAGCGTGAGCGGGTGGTCCCACGAGGGCTCCCACCCCGGGGATCCCTGGGATCAGACCCGGCACCACGGGGCCGCCCAGGGCTGCTGGCGCTCCTGCTCCAGCGCCAGCGCCTCTGCCGCGACCTGCAGCGGGCGGCGGGGCGGCAGGCGGCTTGCCCATGCCGCCCATTGGGCCACCCATGCCGCCCATGCCGCCCTTGCCGCCCATCCCGGGCTTCGCCGCTGCCTTGCCTCCGCCTCCTGGTGCTGCGGGGCCTGCAGCGGCTCCGCCCGCGGCCGCGGCAGCTCCAGCGGCCACTCCGGCAGGCGGCGGCGGGAGCAGGGCGCCGACGCCAGGCGGCAGTCCCAGAAAGCCGCCCAGCACTCCGCCGCCGCCCACGCCGAGGAGCCCCCCGCCAGGGCCCAACCCAAGCGGGCCAGGCGGGGCGCCCGCGCCAGCCCCCGCGGCTCCGAACATCGCCACCGCCGTGCTGCCGCCGCGGCGGCGCGGGCTGGTGAGCTCCCCCAGCCGCCGAGGGGGGAGCTCACTCGGGCGCGGGCTCCTCGGAGGGGGTCATTCTGGGGACCCCCGCTTGCTTCTCTGACAGGGCTAATAGAAGCACCTCCACCGCGCACACCCTGCCGCAGCTTGAGCCGAGGCGGCTACGGAGAGGCGGTTTAGAGGAGATCGTTTCGAGGACGGAGGGGGGACGAGATAAAACCCATGATAATCTCAAGGATATATATATATATATGTACATATATATATACATGATTCGTATTACTATTTTTACTGATATTATTCGTGTTATTATTGTTGTTATTGTTCTTGGTATCATTATTTTTTAAAATAATTTCACTAATACTAATATTACTACTATTATTCGTAGCATTACTATTACTATAGTTGTTGTATGATTCTTGCTAGTACAATGATTAGTTTTATTATGGTTCTTATTACTAGCATATCTATATGCATCGATCCTGCCTGGGCCCAGGACCGGCTCGGCCAAGACTCCGGTGCAGGCGCTCAGTTGGCGCCCGGCCCCCTCCCGACCCCCCCCCCCTGCATTGCGCTCCCCGCAGCTCGATCGCGCTTCCCCCCTCCCCTGGCAGGAGAGCCCAAAAAGCGAATCGATGAGTCGGATCGGCGATCGCAATGAGTCGGATCGGCGAAATCGGCAGCCGAGTCAGGAGAATCGGATCGGCGGAGATCGGCCGGCTCGTATGCCTCCGATCAGACATCGGAGCCCAACTCGGAATCCCAGGTCGCATCGAAGTGGCATCGGAGGCAATCGAAATCGACTCGAGTCGAAGCAGAGGAATCGAAACGAGCCCTGCCCTGGTCGAGCGCCCCCCCCCAAAGATCGAGCTCCTCCCCCAGGGAGGAGGGGACAGCTCGATCGGGGGAGCTAGGTCGGCGGGCCGGGAGGGGGTCCCCGCCCATCGACGTCGAGTTCCCCCAAACCTCCTCCTCCTCCTCATCCTTCTCCTCCTCCTCCTCCTCCTCCTCCTCCTGCTCCTCCTCCTCCTGCTCCTCCTCCTGCTCCTCCTCCTGCTCCTCCTCCTCCTCCTCCTCCTCCTCCTCCTCCTCCTCCTCCTCCTCCTCCTCCTCCTCCTCCCCCCGCCCATCTGCCGTGGGGCCGGCGGCACGTGAGGAGAGGCCCTTCCGCTGGAAGGACCTCTGAGAAGCGCGGCTTTCTTGGGGGGGTCGCAGGGGGGGGGGCCCAACCTGAGCATGCGGACCGCAACTATGCTGCTGCAGCGCAGGCAGCGGTCAGCCAGGCCGCGCACCAAAGGCACTTGCCTTGGAACGCTCTGGCGTCTAGCCGACCTGGGGCTCCGAGACGGCCAACGTTGCTACGGCTTGCTCCGCGTAGGACTATACTGGCAGGGCCGAGCCCCCAGGACAGGTCCCGTGGTTGACGTTCGAGCCGTCTCTGAGGAGGGCCCGGACATCCCTTGGCACGACCAAGCACAGTCAGGACGGCGAGTGTCTCGAATGGAACCCTGGGTGCCCGTTTCTGACCTCGGGGCCGTCACAGAACAAACGAGGATGAGACGCTCGTTCACGAAAAGGGGTCGGAAAATCTGGGGCGGGGGCTGCGGTCAGGAACTTGTGCTTAGCGTAACGCGGCGGCGGCCCCAGCGATACGCTTTGCTCTGCGAGCGGATAGCGTGTCGCTCCGCTCCGCGGGGCGGAAGGCTGGGAAAGGTTCGGTATACAGTCGGGGCGTTGACCTCAGGAACCCTGAATAAGGAACGAGGCCCCTAACTTTTCCACAAGTTCAACTCCGATTTCCGATCGAAAACCTAAGGAAAGCCCGAGGCGAGCTGTGAAACAATCAGGGAACGCGGGGCCCCTCCCCAACGAAAAGGGCTCCTCCTTCAGGGCCCCGACGGTACGCTGGCGCCTGGAGGGGGCCGGACCGTGGACGGCGCGTCGCGCCGCAGCATGGTGGGCCAGAACCGGCGGCGCGACGCGCTGCCCAAGAGGTTCCCCACCCGTACGCCGTCGCTCGGACGTCCATTCCCTGTTTGTGTTTGTTTCGGTTTCGTGCGTGGCTTTTTCGCCAACTATGATCAAGGATGCTCCTCGATGGCCCTCGCCGAAGGAAACATGCACACGTCCGAGCGATGTCAGGCACCCGTACGTCAAGAGAACATCGTACAGCTGGGGCGTTGACCCAAGGAACCCTAAAGGAGGAACGAGGCCCCTTTTTCCCACCAGTTAAACTCCCGATTCCCCATGGAGAACCTCAGGAAAACCCAAGGAGCACTGTAAAACAACTAAGGGACACGGAGCCCCTCCCCAACGAAAAGGGCTCCTTCTTCAGCGCCCCGACTGTAAAGAGGTCCACCGGCAGCTCGTGGAGTGGGCTGTTTTCGTCGACCGCGTCATCAGGGGCCACAGGCACGACGACGACGGGCGCCCGCCCCGGGCAGCCCGGCCTCGTGGCTGAGCACGAAGGGCGGCCATCCTTGGCCGCACCGGAGCCTTGCCACCTCGACGGCACTGCTTCGACATCAACAGGTGCAGCGCCCCGACTGTAACGCAGGATGTCTGGGCCCTCGAAGCGCAGGGCCCCCGGAGCTCTGTCGGGAGACTCTTCATGGGGGGGGATCCCATGGGGGGATAGGATCCCAGGGGGGGGGGGATCCCATAGGATCCCCCCCCCATGGAGAGTCTCCCGGAGCTCTGGAGGGTGCCCATCACCTCGGGCTCCCGGCCCCGCCGCGGCACGAGCCAGGGCGAGAGAGAGGCCCGTCCGCAGCACGGGGCCGGCAGGTCTGGGGGGGGGGGGCTACAGTCGGGGCGCGGACCTCAGGAACCCCAGATGAGGGAACGAGGCCCCTTTTTCCCATCAGCTTACCTTCGATGTCCTGTCGAAAATCCTCCTCCTCATCCTCCTCCTCCTCCTCCTCCTCCTCCTCCTCCTCCTCCTCCTCCTCCTCCTCCTCCTCCTCCTCCTCCTCCTCCTCCGCTTCCTCCCCCCACTCCTAGCCCTTTCGATCAGGGTCGGCGGCACCGGCCGTCAGGCCTCTCCAATAAGGGAACGAGGCCCCTTTTTCCCATAAGTTAACCTTCGATTTCCCATCGAAAACCTAAGGAAAGTCTGAGGCAGGCTGTGAAAGACTTAGGGAACACGGAGCCCCTCCCCAATGAAAAGGGTTCCTTCTTCAGGGCCCCGACTGCACGTCAGGAAGGCATCGTGAAGTCGGACGCCTGGGTCTGCGCAGCCTGCGCCACGTTCCTCTACGGAATGTCCGGAAGGATTTTGTTCGCCCGACCTGGGCTTCCGGAGGCCTCCCGATTCCTCGGGCCCCCGTCCTCCTCCTCCTCATCCTCCTCCTCCTGCTCCTATGTTCCTCCGTCCTCCTCCTCCTCGGGCCCCCGTCCTCCTCCTCCTCCTCCTCCTCCTCCTCCTCCTCCTCCTCCTCCTGCTCCTGTGTTCCTCCGTCTCGCCCTCGGCAACCTCCTCGTCGACGTCGCCCCCCCCCGTCCTGCCTCTGCTCCTCCTCCTCCTTCGCCTCCCTAATTCGTGCTCGCGCCCTCCCACTCCCCCCCTCCTCCCCCGCTCCTGTCCTCGTTGTGCCTGGTGCTCAAGATCGTTGCAGATTGGTCTCCTGCGGGACGGGAAAATGACCACAGCCACTGCTTCTTGCTTGCGCCGCCTTCCAGCCGGCCGAAACAGAAGCAGTGGTTGTGGTCATTTCCCTGGTGCCAAGCTCAACGAAAATGACCACAACCACTGCTTTGTTTCTGCGGGCTCACCCTATAGAGCCACTGCCCACGGGCTCCGCCGGGTCCCGCGACGGCGGCATCACTTGGCATCGCTCGGAAGTGTGCATTTTTTCTTCGGCGAGGACCATCGAGGAGCATCCTTGATTATTTCGCAAAAAAAATAAACACGCACGAAACCAAAAAAAGGCGGCAACAAAAAAAACAGTGGCTGTGGTCGTTTTCACGCCCCGCATCTCCGCAGCATGCGCAGGCTGGCTCTTTGCGTGCGGCGCGGCCGAGCTTCGCCCCTCGCTCGCAGCGGCTGCCGCGCGCGCGGTGCCCCGAGCCCGACGGCGGGGTCGCGCCAAGCGTCGTCCCCGCTGCCGTCATGCCACCTTTCGGCGGCGCCTGGTGAAACCCTCCCGCAATTTCGTCCCTGTCGCGGAGTTGCTGTGGCCGAACTTGTGCCCGGAGATCTCTGCCCGGTGACCGAACCCTGCGCCCGAAATGTTCCCAATGTGCCCGAGCGTGACCGAACGTGTCAGATTCGAAACCAATGCGATGCTCAAGTTCGCACACACTTTCGGTCACACGGGGCTTTCGGTCAAAACATCGGGCAAATGTTCGGGTACCGAATTGTTGGTCATATACCTTTTTGACTGATGGGGGCCAAGCGCCATGAAATCCATGACGACTTCCGTGACGACATTTGTGGTAGCCCCTCCTGGGGTAGATGCTTCGTTCCCGCCAGCCCGCGTCAAGACTGCGCCGAACATGCGATCGGAGCCAGCTTGCTCGGCATGATTTCGACATCCCACCACTGGAGATGGGCCTGTCGTGTGCCCGCAGGGCAACACGAGAACTCAACCTACACCCACCTCTATCGCGAACCGCCTCGCCGGCAGTAAGAGTACCGTCGATTACTCGGTGAGACCCTGGCTGGTCGGAGATTTAGCACGGCAGCCCCCAGATGGCCGAGGCGCCTCCTCGAGACGCCGGGCGGGAAGACCGGGAAGCACGCGCACGCCCGACGCCCGATGTGGCTTTCCATGCCCTCCCTGGCTGCGCGCGTCACGCACAACATAGTGCGCCACATCCCATGCACAGGCCACTTGTTTTCGTCACTCCTCCTCCTCCTCCGCCTCCTCCTCCTCCTCCTCCTCCTCCTCCTCCTCTCCCTGCTCCTCCTCCTCCTCCTCCTCCTCCCCCCCTCCTCCTGCTCCTCCTCCCCCCCCCCCGCTCCTCCGCCCCGAGGGCGCGGCGGCGCGCCTCGCTCTTCGAGGGGGCGGCCAGGGCCTCGACCACCTGGGGATCGGCGGCGGGCGGCGGCGCGAAACCCCCACCCCCGCCGCCCGCTCCCACCCCCGCCCGCGGCCCCCGCGCCCGTCGTAGAGGTGGAGGGAGAAAGGGGGCAGCCTGTTTGAGCCGGGCGCGCGCGGGCGGTCTTCGTCGTCGCCTTCGTGTTTCGTTCTCACGCGTCCTCCACCTGCACCCCTCCTCTCTCCATTCCGCCTCCTGCCTCCGTCCTGCGAGCTAATGGCCGCAGAGGCTGTCCTCCGCCGCCCTTTTCCTCCTCCTCCTCCTCCTCCCTCCTCCTCCTCCTCCTCCTCCTCCTCCTCCTCCTATCTGGGGTCTCCTGGGGCCTTCCTGGGGTCCCTTGAAGGGGCCTCCTGCCCCCCCCCCCCCGCCTCCTCGTCCCGTTTCCCTCTTCTCCTCCCGCTGTCCGCCTTCGCCTCCGCCCCCCTCCTCTTCCTCCTCCTCCTCCTCCTCCTCCTCCTCCTCTTCCTCCTCCGCCTCCTCCTCCTCCTCGTCCGCCTTCTCGTCTTCCGCTTTCAGCAGTTACCGGATATGTGTGCTTCTCTACCTCTCCCATAACAATGTCCATCGGTGATCCCGTGTAACACTGGTGACCCGACACGTCGGAGCTGTTAGGTTTCTAACGACGGCCGCCAATCCCCAATAGTTCGGGTCATCCCTGGGTTCCCGTGAGCCCAATGACCGCGACACGAAGAACCAGACACATCTAGATTGTGTAGGTATAACAGGTGTATGCCACAAGCAACCAAGCCCGTCAGGGAGGCGTCACGACGTCGACATTATACATCTAGAGCTGAGACGCATGGCATACGAGAAGAACGCACACCAGGAACATACAACGAACCTATACATCCAATACGTGCGACATGCTGGTACTTACATTAGATGCCCATACAAATACATATGGTTTTGTGTGGATGTTCAACTATAGACAGGTGTATACATATACACTAGAGCCATCGCGCGCACTTCGCGCGCGCTCAGGTTCTAGCTAGGGTCATGATTATCGTCATCACTGTCATCCTCATCCCCGTCACCTTCATCATCAACGTCATGGCCATGGCCACCTTCACCATCGCCATCACAACAATCAGTATTACCACCATTACAATCAGCATCGTGATCACCATCGCCATCATCGCCATCGTACTTTTCACCATCACCATCCGCACCATGAACATCTTCTTGGTATTCGGCGGCGTCGTCGGCAACATAGCCATCGTCATCATCAGCGCCATCGCCGTCATCATCCCCGGTCCACTGCAGTCCCATTGCCCTCCTCGTCTTCCCGTTTCCCCTCTTCCAATCATTTGTTTTAAACATCCTTTCCCTCTTCGGCGTCTCCCTGAAAAGGGATCCCTGCTCCTTCATCTCCTCCTCCTCTTCCTCCTCCTTCTCCTCCTCCTCCCTGTCTTCCCCGCTATTCGGTGCCCCTTCTTGTGCTCCTTCACCTACTTCACCTCCTTCCTCCTCCCGAGCCCTCTTCATCCTATGCTCCACTTCCCTCCTCGTCCTCAACATCCCTCCCCGAATCAGAGAATCAGAGAACGAGCTAATCTTACAGCAACAGTGTCCCTCCTCCTCTTCTCCATCCTCTTCTCCCTCTTCATCCTCCTGATCTTTCTCCTCCTCCTCCTCCTTCTCCTCCTCCTGCTCCTCCTCCTCCTCCTCCTCCTCCTACTCCTCCTCCTCCCCTCCTCCTCCTCCTCCTCCTCCTCTCCTCCTCCTCGCTCTCCTCCTCCTCCTCCTCCTCCTCCTCCTCCTCCTCCTCTCCTCCTCCTCCTCCTCCTCCTCCTCCTCCTCCTCCTCCTCCTCCTCCTCCCCCCCCCTCCTCCACCTCCTCCTCCTCCTCCTCTTCCTCCTCCTCCTCCTTCTCTCCTCCTCCTCGTCCTCCTCCTCCTCCTCCTCTTCTCCCCTCCTCCTCCTCCTCCTCCTCCTCCTCCTCCTCCTCCTCCTCCTCCTCCCCTCCCCCTCCTCCTCCCTCCCCCTCCCCTCCTTCTCCTCCTCCTCTTCTCCTCCTCCTCCTTCTCCTCCTCCTCCTCCCTCCTCCTCCTCCTTCCTCCTCCTCCTCCTCCTCCTTGTTTTCCTCCTCCTCCTCCTCCTCCTTGTTTTCCTCCTCCTCCTCCTCCTCCTCCTCCTCCTCCTCCTCCTCCTCCTCCTCCTCCTATCTCTCAACGCACCCAGTACACGGGTGCCTACTGGAAGGCGTGCCGAGAGCCTTTTTGGAAGCATTGTGCCAGTCTCTGGAGCCTCTCTGGGCCTTCATTTGGACTCCTTTGGGGCCTGTGTTGGCCAGTCTGAGGGCCCATTTCGGCCGTTCCGGGTCCCTCTTGGCTCGTCGTGGGGAGCTTAGCTCGTTTTGGGGTTCTCCTGGGGCCCTCTCCGACCATGTAGGAATCCTCTGGTGGGCTCTCTTGGGCCGTCTTGTAGCTCTGATGTGCTCGAAGCTCTCTTCAGCCCATCTTCCTCTTTGGGGCCTCTGGGGC